TTGCCATGGTTACGCCCCCCCCAGGGCTTCTCGCTCAACGAGATGGTCTTAATTATAAATCAATAAATCAATAAATTATGTATGGAATTCACTCACATACGGTTCAGTGTCAATCACTGGGGCTCACTCCCATAGGGTGCAGTGTTAATCACTGGGGCTCACTCCCATAGGGTTCAGTGTTAATTACTGGGGCTCACTCCCATAGGGCTCACTCCCATAGGGTTCAGTGTTAATCACTGGGGCTCACTCCTATAGGGTTCAGTGTTAATCACTGGGGCTCACTCCCATAGGGTTCAGTGTTAATTACTGGGGCTCACTCCCATAGGGCTCACTCCCATAGGGTTCAATGTTAATCACTGGGGCTCACTCCTATAGGGTTCAGTGTTAATCACCGAGACTCACTCCCATAGGGTTCAGTGTCAATCACTGGGGCTCACTCCCATAGGGTTCAGTGTTAATCACTGGGGCACACTCCCATAGGGTTCTGTGTTAATCACTGGGGCTCACTCCCATAGGGTTCAGTGTTAATCACTAGGGCTCACTCCCATAGGGTTCACTCCCATAGGGTTCAGTGTTAATCACTGAGGCTCACTCCCATAGGGTTCAGTGTTAATCACTGGGGCACACTCCCATAGGGTTCAGTGTTAATCACTGGGGCTCACTCCCATAGGGTTCAGTGTTAATCACTGGGGCACACTCCCATAGGGTTCAGTGTTAATCACTGGGGCTCACTCCTATAGGGTTCAGTGTTAATCACTGGGGCTCACTCCCATAGGGTTCAGTGTTAATCACTGGGGCTCACTCCCATAGGGTTCAGTGTTAATCACTGGGGTTCACTCCCATAGGGTTCAGTGTTAATTACTGGGGCTCACTCCCATAGGGCTCACTCCCATAGGGTTCAATGTTAATCACTGGGGCTCACTCCTATAGGGTTCAGTGTTAATCACCGAGACTCACTCCCATAGGGTTCAGTGTCAATCACTGGGGCTCACTCCCATAGGGTTCAGTGTTAATCACTGGGGCACACTCCCATAGGGTTCTGTGTTAATCACTGGGGCTCACTCCCATAGGGTTCAGTGTTAATCACTAGGGCTCACTCCCATAGGGTTCACTCCCATAGGGTTCAGTGTTAATCACTGAGGCTCACTCCCATAGGGTTCAGTGTTAATCACTGGGGCACACTCCCATAGGGTTCAGTGTTAATCACTGGGGCTCACTCCCATAGGGTTCAGTGTTAATCACTGGGGCTCACTCCCATAGGGTTCAGTGTTAATCACTGGGGCTCACTCCCATAGGGTTCAGTGTTAATCACTGGGGCTCACTCTCATAGGGTTCAGTGTTAATCACTGAGGCTCACTCCCATAGGGTTCAGTGTTAATCACTGAGACTCACTCTCATAGGGTTCAGTGTTAATCACTGGGGCTCACTCCCATAGGGTTCAGTTTTAATCACTGGGGCTCCCTCTCATAGGGTTCAGTGTTAATCACTGAGACTCACTCCCATAGGGTTCAGTGTTAATCACTGAGACTCACTCTCATAGGGTTCAGTGTTAATCACTGGGGCTCACTCCCACAGGGTTCAGTTTTAATCACTGATGCTCACTCCCATAGGGTTCAGTGTTAATCACTGAGGCTCACTCCCATAGGGTTCAGTGTCAATCACTGAGGCTCACTCCCATAGGGTTCAGTGTTAATCACTGGGGCTCACTCCCATAGGGTTCAGTGTTAATCACTGGGGCTCACTCCCATAGGGTTCAGTGTTAATCACTGGGGCTCACTCCTATAGGGTTCAGTGTTAATTACTGGGGCTCACTCCCATAGGGCTCACTCCCATAGGGTTCAATGTTAATCACTGGGGCTCACTCCTATAGGGTTCAGTGTTAATCACCGAGACTCACTCCCATAGGGTTCAGTGTCAATCACTGGGGCTCACTCCCATAGGGTTCAGTGTTAATCACTGGGGCACACTCCCATAGGGTTCTGTGTTAATCACTGGGGCTCACTCCCATAGGGTTCAGTGTTAATCACTAGGGCTCACTCCCATAGGGTTCACTCCCATAGGGTTCAGTGTTAATCACTGAGGCTCACTCCCATAGGGTTCAGTGTTAATCACTGGGGCACACTCCCATAGGGTTCAGTGTTAATCACTGGGGCTCACTCCCATAGGGTTCAGTGTTAATCACTGGGGCTCACTCCCATAGGGTTCAGTGTTAATCACTGGGGCTCACTCCCATAGGGTTCAGTGTTAATCACTGGGGCTCACTCTCATAGGGTTCAGTGTTAATCACTGAGGCTCACTCCCATAGGGTTCAGTGTTAATCACTGAGACTCACTCTCATAGGGTTCAGTGTTAATCACTGGGGCTCACTCCCATAGGGTTCAGTTTTAATCACTGGGGCTCCCTCTCATAGGGTTCAGTGTTAATCACTGAGACTCACTCCCATAGGGTTCAGTGTTAATCACTGAGACTCACTCTCATAGGGTTCAGTGTTAATCACTGGGGCTCACTCCCACAGGGTTCAGTTTTAATCACTGAGGCTCACTCCCATAGGGTTCAGTGTTAATCACTGAGGCTCACTCCCATAGGGTTCAGTGTCAATCACTGAGGCTCACTCCCATAGGTTTCAGTGTTAATCACTGGGGCTCACTCCCATAGGGTTCAGTGTTAATCACTGGGGCTCACTCCCATAGGGTTCAGTGTTAATCACTGGGGCTCACTCCCATAGGGTTCAGTGTTAATCACTGGGGCTCACTCTCATAGGGTTCAGTGTTAATCACTGAGGCTCACTCCCATAGGGTTCAGTGTTAATCACTGAGACTCACTCTCATAGGGTTCAGTGTTAATCACTGGGGCTCACTCCCATAGGGTTCAGTTTTAATCACTGGGGCTCCCTCTCATAGGGTTCAGTGTTAATCACTGAGACTCACTCCCATAGGGTTCAGTGTTAATCACTGAGACTCACTCTCATAGGGTTCAGTGTTAATCACTGGGGCTCACTCCCACAGGGTTCAGTTTTAATCACTGAGGCTCACTCCCATAGGGTTCAGTGTTAATCACTGAGGCTCACTCCCATAGGGTTCAGTGTCAATCACTGAGGCTCACTCCCATAGGTTTCAGTGTTAATCACTAAGACTCGAGCAATTTTAACAATTTGATTTATTTCAAGGCAATCACCCCCATCACCATCACCCCATCACGACCACAATTACCACCATCACCACCATCACACCCATCACCACCATCACACCCATCACCCCCATCATCACCCCCATCATCACCCCCATCATCACCCTCATCACCATCGCTGCCACCACCAGCACCACCATCATCATCACCACCACCCCCATTATCACGCCCACCATCACCTCCACCAACCCCACCATCACCACCACCGCCACCCTTACCCCCACCACCACCCCATCACCACCACCCCCATCATCACCATCACCATCACCACCACCATCACCACCACCATCACCACCACCCCATCACCACCACCCCATCACCACCACCACCACCACCACCCCACCACCACCACCCCATCACCACCACCCCCATCACCACCACCACCCCCATCACCACCACCACCATCACCACCACCCCCATCACCACCACCACCATCACCACCACCACCACCATCACCACCACCACCCCATCACCATCACCACCACCCCATCACCACCACCACCGCCACCACCACCGCCATCACCACCGCCACCACCACCCCATCACCCCCACCACCACCGCCACCACCACCACCGCCACCCCATTACCACCCCACCATCACCACCACCATCACCACCACCCCATCACCATCACCCCCACCATCACCACCTCCATCACCATCACCATCACCACCCCCACCACCACCACCATCACCACCACCATCACCACCACCCCACCACCACCACCATCACCACCATCACCACCACCACCATCACCACCACCATCACCACCACCACCATCACCACCCCATCACCGCCATCACCACCACCACCCCATCACCGCCATCACCACCACCACACCACCACCACCATCACCACCACCACCACATCACCACCACCATCACCACCACCACCACCACCCCACCACCACCATCACCACCACCACCACCCCCATCACCACCACCACCACCACCCCCATCACCACCACCACCACCCCCATCACCACCACCACCACCACCCCCATCACCACCACCATCACCACCACCACCACCATCACCA